ACTCTCCAGAGGCAGCCATTATTGTTGTCACCCAAGCGCGCATTGGTCACGTGGTTGATTACGTTACTGTTGGTCATCTGTCCATCATCTTATAAAGCCCGCCCTGACAATTTGATTGGATCGCCTGACAGTGGGCGATAATACTCGCGCTACTATGGAGCAGAGCCAGACCGAACTTCCCGACCTCAAACTTTGTGGGCGGGACTAAGTTCGGAATGGCACCCAGGCTAGGAAGCTGGAGTACCCGGAGAGAACCCACACATGCAAACTCCGTGCTGGGAATCAAACCCACAACCTTCTTGCTGCAAGGCAGTAGTGCTACCCACTGTACCACTGAGCATGAAGATGCATGAACTTTTATTTCTACACTGAGATGCTATTTAATTAAAAAAAAATATCATTAAAAAAAAACTCATTCATTCAACATTTCATCTAACTTAAATGACAATATAAGAGTCAGTCGACTTCTTAGGCCATGTAATAATTCAAAGGCCTTCATTATTTCATTTTGAAATATCTTTATCGATCAACAATTTCACCTACTTTTCATTTGCGTGAGATAGTTTGTTTAATTTATGTATTTTAACCTTGGGTTTGAACCAGTCATTGGAAACACTTTTACTGCAATTAATTGCAAATGTAGAGAGGTCCTTTGTTTTCATATTTATATAAAAAGACTGGAGGGATAGGACTTTGACTGAATGATGCAGCCACATAAAATGCTAATTCTGGATTAGTGTCAGAAAATAATAAATGTGTTGCAATTGCTTCTATAGCTATCTTTGTATTTCACCTTGAGATCAGGCTGGGGTTTAGCAAACCTTTCATCAGCAAGTTTTGGCTATTGAACCAACCCTGATGAGTGTCTGAACAGATATGTGTTAAAAAGCCCTAAGGTATAATAAACTTTAGTTCAGCAGTCTGGCATCGGTTCCATTTTCGCAGTATATCAGCAGAGTTCTTTACTTACTGTGCGTGCCTAGATATTTAATCAGTATTTTGCTATGTGAGGGCATTATGATAATGATGATTTCTAATTTACATTTGATGATTAGAGCTCTGTTGATGTATTTTTGGTTATCATTGGCAAATCCAAAGTGGGGAACAAACTCACGCAGGTAAAATTGCTCTTTAGCCTAAATAATGTTTCATTCAAGCTGTTGGCAAAATCTTGCTTTCGATGCAGCCCCTTTTCAGTCTCAGAAACTGCATCAATTTAGGTTTAGGATTTCTGTTAAATTTTCTGATCGTTGTTACAGTGAGAAAGCTTTGAGATTTTATACTCTGAGTAATAGGGATAGGTTGATTAGAAGAAATACTTGATATATATATTTTCATTGTTTTTCCCAACGAGCTCTCGAGGATGAAACATTCTTATTTTTTGTCCCTAACAAATCTATCATTAAAAATTACATAAATAATAAAAATATAATTTTCATTACATTTTTATATAATATACTTTTCAAAAACACTGCCCAAGGGTTAAAGGAACATTTTTTTAAATACAACAAATCTTTTTTGGAGAAAAATCCTGCTGGATATGTACACTGAGAATTATCAACACAAGGAGGAATGAATCCAATGACACACAGAAAATAAAACTGTAAAGCTAATGTGGCAGACTAGTCCAATTTGCCTAAATGTCATTACAGCTATTACAAATGGAACTTAATAGTGTATATGCCTCCATGTATTTATATGCATGCTTAACAATATTTGGCCACTGTCCCTATAAGATGGTAGATTGTGCAAAGGATATCTCCCCCAGATCTGACTAGGGCATCACAGATTCAACCTGGTCACAACTGATAGACCTACACGTTATATACCAGAACTTATCTATTATGCTGCTTTTCATTTCACATTACAAGCTCCACACGGCTCTATTCGGCTCAGAGTCTGTCTACTCTGCAGGAAAGCGGTTGTTTCCATGGATCCACTGACAGGTGCAGCTGAATTGATTAAGTAAAAACATAAATACAAAAAATAACTAGAAAATACAAATGATATTTGTGGTATTATATATGTTACTTTTGTAAAAAAAAAAAAAAAAAAAAAAAAAAAAAAGGCATTCAGAAAGTGCTCTTTAGACTATATAAAATAGGGCCTACTACCATTTTCCCCTTCTAATTATTATTAAAATTCAATATAACATATATATAAAACAGGATTTTTGCAGTAACTATGGGATAAGTCTGGTCACTTTTTTTTTTTATCTTGATGTTTAGTCCATTGTTTTATTTGATCATGTATTTGTTTTAATGTTGAAAGCCCCCCTAAGGGGTTTAAAATTGTGAAATAATCCAAGGTTGATGAGCTGGTATTTTATACAATTTTTATGTGTGATTGCAGTTTGGAGTGAGTGGCCTTACAAGTTTCTTGGAGTTCACTGAGAATGGCACGAATCCCAATATCTTCTTTGAAATCCTGGGAACAAATTATGGAGAAGACAGAGGTAGAGGAATCAGCAGGGTAAGTCTTCACTTATTTACGTACTATAATTTCTGCATTTCCTTATTGGGATGTCTTATGTATTTAGATATTTCTAATTTTAAGATATATAAATAAAAAATAAATTCAAAAAATAAATAAAATAAATTCAGCACTAAATATATCAAATTCTAATGGAATTAATTGGTTATATTTTTTGTGTCGATGTCTGTCTTTTAGTCCTAATTGTTTTGTGTTTTTGTTGGTCCAAGTGCAATGACTTCCGCTGCAGCTCACATCTTCTTCAGCTGAGAGCAATGTTAATTAAATGCCATTTTTAAGTGGCACTTTGTAATGGTAATGGCTGCATAATAAGAGCATAATGAATTTTTACAGGCCTCATGAAAGACTTCCCCTCCACTCAAACCCCGAAACAGATCGTCATATCCCTGTCTTTATTGATTTTTCTTTTGTTTTAATGGTTTTGTTTATAGGGATTCAGTGTATTTATTAAAATTCAAAATGTATAAGTTGTAATCAATATCATAAACTCTAATAAGGGAGTTTATTATTACATTTTTGTGCTAGATAATAATTTATACAATGTTGTTATGCACATTCAGGTCAAGACTCTTTGCTTCATTTGGAAATGCATCATTTATGAATTTATCAAGGACGTTCTGTTTTAAAATCCTTTACTTAATACATTATATTTACATCCCCCCAAAGCGGGTTGTAAAAAATTTTTTTTTTGGTCTTGTTTTTGTCTTTCAAATTGTTGCACTTAAATATATCTCTTCCTGTATTTAATTCATACACAGCCTCTAACTATCTTTAAGTTGAATTTGATAAAAGATGGATTTATCTAGTTTTGGCTATGGTTAAATACAAGTCATTTAATACTTGAAATTATATTATATAAGGAATTTTTTTTAATAAAAACATATTTAGTGTTTTTAATCACTTTCTGTTTTGCTTACGTAAATATGTTTTGCTCCTATGGCTGAATCACAGCATTATTAAATATGCAAATTATGTTTTGACATCATTCAGCGCCTTCTGGCATCGTTTAGGACAGCCAGTAGTAATCATGTCTGATGTTGCTTGGGAGGTTTCTTTGCTACTAGTTTCTACGATGACCCAGAGGGTCCAAAAGCCACGACATGAAAACAACAATGTTGCTGTCCTGTAGATGGGCTCTACTGATTAAAAAATTCTATTACTTTTTGAAAATATTTTTATAGGGAGAATTGGTATCTGAAAAGTCTCTTTACTTCTCATCTCTTTATTCTCTCCCTATAAAACTTGTAGAGCTTTTGTGTTGCAAATTATTCTCAAAATTTATCAATGTAATAGACTATATTGCCAAAAGTATTCATTCACTTGCCTGAACTCACAAATACGGCAAAAGTAATGCACGGGACCCTCAAGCTCCTAGTCGTCTGGTGGAAAACCCAAGCTTGAAAGACAAAAAAAACGTATGGTGAGTGGGGAAATGTTTAAAATTGTGTACATATCATTATCCAAACTTTTTTAAAAGGACAGAATTTTGTTTATTGTTCTTGGATTATATCCATTATATTGGATTCAGTTTCCCCTTGGATTACTTATAATTACTCTTCATGAAAGGCAGTTCTCTGATAAGACCCAAGGTCCTTTTAAGTGTGTAGTACTAGTGCTGATGGTTGGACTAAATTACCTTGCCATATCTGCTATCTATACAGAGTACTAGGAAGCCTTTTTGTGCTTGTTACACAGACATACTGCACAAGGGTATTCCTTGGAGAAAATATTTCTGCACATGCTCAATATACATTTACATACATACCTTAGAGCTACAGTTTACAAAGATCAACAATGAAAACAAGAATAACACATTATCCCTGCCCTACATACTAGAAGAAACATTCAAATGTCAATGGGCTTATAATGTGGGTTGATACCAACATAACACAGCATGCCATCACAGACTAAATTAATCTCTTCAGCATTAGTGCAAATGCATCAGAGCTAACTTGTTTGATCAAGTTGCAATTATTTGTTAGCATTAAGCAGTTTTTGTGGCTTTCCTGCCTTTGTTAGGTAGGCTGATGTTTCCACTTTATAGTCTGCTAAAAAATGTACTGTATATGTTTAGAACTCATATTTTTCATCTTAATTTGAAAGTTTATTCTAAATGTCTTTTTTATGACTTTCTGTTAAATAAAATCATGACGATATGAAATGTACTTTGAGAAAAGAGGTGAATAATTAGTTTTTTGTACTTTAACCTCATAAAACTTACATACTTACGTACATTTGTGAATTTTTTTCCTGTCATTGGGTTTCAATTCAATTCAGTTCAGTTTATTTATATAGTGCTAATTCACAAAATATGTCATCTCAAGGCACTTTACAATTCAACAAGATAATTCAGTCAAATTGATTCAAAGTTTTCTATCTAAGGAAAACCAGTTGATTGCATCGACGCATCGACTTGCAGGCAATCCCTCACTCTAAGCATGCTTGTAGCAAGAGTGGAGAGGAAAAACACGCTTTTAACAGGAAGAAACCTCCAGTATAACCAGATTGGTGTGAGCGGCCATCTGCCTAGGCACACTGGGGTTCAAGGAGACAGAAGCAGAAATAGAAAAAGAAGCAGAGATACAAAAGTCAATTGTAAACCAGCTTCACAGGCGGCCCCGTCCTGGAAACACGTAGGCAGGCAGACAAGCTCCGTGCCAGCTCTCATGTCAGAGGATGAAGAGAGCACATCCAGCCAGTCACAGTCAAAGAAACAGGACTACTCTTAAAAACATGCTGATTTCGAACATCTATAAACAAAGGTGTTGATGGCAGCAGCACAACTGATTTTTCTCTCCAGGGTGGTGTCGCAACCAAAGAGGAACAGGCCAGATGACAGAGAGGTATGCAGAGATGGTATAGTGTTGGAGATTGCCCCAACACATTTTGCAGAGTGTGAGAAAATGGTAAAAAAAAGGGGCCCCTATGTCCTCCAGCAGTTTAAGCATACAGCAACATGACTATAGAAATTGCTCGGATAACCTGAGCCTTGGTTTGGAGTTAACAGGTATTTAACTTGTATATGCATTTTACTTGGCTTGCTTTCATGTTGCAAAAGAATTACAGTTAATACTATTATTCTGTTATCTGCTGTAGGCTGCATCATCTTGCAGTTTCCCTTTAAGTTGCTTTTATCCATATTGTTTAATTTTGTGAATTTTCATTGCTTTTCTGCTCCTTACATAAAATCCTGCTGAACTGTTGCCACTGTTCTGGCTAACACTACTAAATGTTGCATAATTTGTAATAATGTTATTAACACCATATTCTTCTGAGTAACCTGAGCCTTCTTTACTGTTTCATTATATTGTTTTTTCCTCTCTTTGAGGCCCTTTTTATTTCCGTGGAGGGCCTTATTAATGACTAGCACGCAGTCAAGCTTTTATTTTCTCTTATCTCACCTTAATTAAGACATTCTAAGTAATTCAACCCATCCCTTTATCTTGCCTTTTTTACCTTGTTGCATTTGGCTTTCTTGCCATTTCAAAATTGTCCTTTCTTTAAAATAGTCTCGCCTTTTTAACAGATACTTATTCCCAACCAGACTTGCCTAGTGTAATCGTAATTTTTTTTTTAAAACATCAAACAACTCCTAAATAATACCCCTTCAGTGTTTGTGCTTCTGGTTAGCTACCTTCAGTGGCTTTACAAGGGAAACTATACAGTTCTATGTATCCAACAATATTTACTGTACAGTACATAATAAACAGTACAGTACAGTGTATCCTTGTTTTAGTTCACAGTTTCTTGATAACAACAGTGCTGTGTAACAAATTCAATACAATGTCGAGTTATTGATGGTTGCAATATGCAGCTGCTAAACATTGCCTGGATGCATATATTTTTTTAGATATTAAATTTCAAGTGTAATGCAATTACATTCTGTCAAAAAATATAGTACTGAAACTGTGATGTACTGGGAACCATGGAAGGAAGGAAGCTCCTTGCCGTCAAAACTGGATGTGGATCTTTAGTAGCAGATATAGTAAAATTTAAAGAAAATACTAAGGAAATTGGTTTATTCCAATCGACATTGTCTTGACAATATTCAGCAGTGTTAACTCAGTTATCTGGATGTGCTGGTTCTCTAGTTGACATATAGTCAATGCAATCAGCTGGTTTTATTTAGAAAGAAATCTTGGAACCAACCTGACTTTATGATCTGGTTGAATTGTCTCTGTAAAGTGCCTTGAGATGGCATGTGTTGTGAATTGGAGCTATATAAATAAACTGAATTGAACAGAAAAGGGAAAAGTTCATAAAAAAAATTTTGTCAAGTTGAATTACAAACAAGAAATATTACTTAGCTAATTAGCTTGGTAGTTTAAAAAATAAATTAACAGTATGGAGATTTAAGGTAAACCTGGAAGAAAGACGCCCAAGGTTTAGAATAAGATAATAAAGAAAAAATATCTCCAAGGGGAAAAAATCTTATTCTTTTTTACCCATCATATTAGGTGGATTATTATGAAAATTTATTCAGTGTGTCTCACCCTCCTTAAGGCAAAGTTAAGGGATTGTGGAGAAGTTAAAGTCGGTTTAGAATGAAGAAATGTGAGGAGAAAAGGATGAAAATACAGACTGATTGATTTTATTTAACAGCATTCCAATAGATTTTCTTTGTTTTATTTGGTTTTCTTTATTATTCCTCACCCTTACACATCCTTGTTATTCCTGTGTAGGTTTGTTTTATAAGTTAGCTGCGGGTTTGCCCTCTCCTCGATCTGGAAATGCAGCTGGTTGAGATTTTACGGTTAAAACAAGTGGAGTTTAAACACCATTACTAACCCTGATTTAAAGCACTGGTTACTTTATATCTTCAACTTGCACATTGCGTGAAAAAAAAACCCAAAAATTACTTTTTTTTTCCTCCCCAGGATTTGATGGTTTTTGCTGCTTTCTCTCTTGTTATCTGCCGACTTGTTCTTACTTATGACATGTCACATATGTTACAACGAGAACTATGGCTAAAGAATTTC